AAATGCTATGGAGACCCTCTGGATCTTATCTTAAAATTACCACTATTCCATTATTTACAACAACAACAACAACAACAACAAACTATACGGTAAAATTCTCATTGGTTAAAGAAGCCAATGCGTAAGACCAGGGAGACCAGCTCTCTGGTATGACAGATACACATTCAGCGAGCACTGACGCCATTTTGAAAGGTGAAACTCCAGGTCATCGGTACCATATTTGGACGTATTTAATGACCTGATACGGGAATGCACGTTTTCGTTGGACAATCGCTAGACCCAGTATAATACTCGACTCGGTTACCTTGGACATGTTTAGTAAAGAAGGTGAAACCTACTTACGTATCGGTTGCTAAGTCGACGCGAAAGTTGCCTAGTCGGCGCGGAACTTGCTAAGTCGGCGATAAACTTGCTTTCATATCGCGGAAGTTACTAAGTCGGCGAGACAACTGCTTACATATCGTGGAAGTTGCTAAGTAGACTGGAAACTTGCCTATGTATCGGGGAAAGTTGCTGGAGTTGGCATATCGATTGTCGCCATTGGCCACCATAGTAAACAATGTATTTCACTTTACATGTGTTGAAAATGTCGCATTGGAATTAGAACCATTTGGTTTTTGAGTCGGCAGAGCCATCACTGAAAATGAATTATTTTCTTGCAGGGGTACGATGACCGAACTAGCATATACCAGTCAAGACGAGATAAAATATATCAGGCGTGTGAAAAATATGAAAACAGGTTCAAGAAGCATCGCCATAAACTTCCTCTTCACAATTTATATATCAGCCAGAAACACAAGTTTATATATTGCGCTATTCCGAAAGTTGGCTGCACAAACTGGTTCAAGACTTTACTTGTTCTTTCTGGTCAATTCAAACAAGATGACGTCATCGGGTGGAGGGAAATCAATCTATACAGACGGGCTCACTATGGGGGTCTACGCGAATATAACAAATTAGTGGGATCCGGACGAGTGGGAGAGTTTATCCGATTCGTGGTCGTGCGACATCCATTCACCCGCCTAGTGTCATTGTTCGCCCAAAAGCTCGATCGAAGACCTGACCGGCGGCTAATAAGCGAGCTCCTTTCAAAGATGCAACAGATAACCGAGTCGAACTCGTCGACTATGAACTTTCACAACTTCGTGGACTACCTCATCAAAACAAAGGAACCGACTGAGACATGGAACTCCCATTTCAGACCGATGCACTTGTTATGTTTCCCATGCAACATCGATTACGATATTATTGGACATTTAGAAACGATCCACGAGGACTCGGAGTACTTGTTTCATGAGATCGGTTCCACACTATCGTATCCGAAAAAATCCTCGCGCACCGCCACCAACAGTTCGACCACCGATAATCTTCTCCGCTATTTCAGTACGATTTCTGATGACCAAATATGGAATTTATACAAGATTTACAAAATGGATTTTGAAATGTTTGGTTATTCTCCTTCAGAATTTTTTCCATTCCCTAATAAGAATCGAACACAAAACATTATTATTTAAATAATAAACCATCCTCCAAACGAAACAAATGGCTTTACTTAACACTTTTTTTTGATACTCTTGACATTGAACATCTGTGACGTCATTAATTAATTTTTATGTAAACCATACATGTTGTCGTATTATAATATAATGAAAACCTGGTACACGGAATTTTCTCTAAGTCATGCGCAGTTGAAGTGGCGTTACGTCATTTCCGGAATATACGAATACGCTCTGTTTTACTGTCCCAACATGGTCCAACCTACATGGTCCGTCCTACCAAGAAAGTAAACTTCCAGTACTGTAAGACGCATTATGACACGTGGTAATATTCACCCAATTTATTCAATATAAATAACAAATATTACTGTACTAGTAAACATATTAGTATTCAATCAAATATTCACATAATACCTCAGAAAAGTGTATGTACTGGTCAAACCCTTCCAACGACCCCAGTGATTACAAGTGGTTGATCCCCGACGCATCTAAGTATACATGCGATATTGAAGTGCTATCTGTGCAACCGATTTTCACCAAAAGGACTCTACACTGCGTTTTGATTAGTTTTATTTCGTATTTTATCCCGAGATCGAATTACGCGAATAGTAATATTCAACGTTTTAGTCACCATCCCCAAAATTATGTATATTAAAAAACCAGCAATGCTTTCAGAAAAAAAAGTAATAAAAGTAATCACATACCATGCACGTAGTACAATAAATCTGGGATTGTTCTGCTGTTCTCTTGTGTCAAACTGGGTTAACCGCATATGTAAGTTTATTCAAAGAATTCAACACTTCAATAATTCGGCTCAGGATGCTCAAACAATATCAAAACAACTGTAGGCTCATGTTTATAGAAACGTTAATATAGTATGCTAATTACAAATAGATTGGACACAAACTCTGGGAGATATTTAAAGGGCGGTGGCCACGTGCTGCGCATGTGCGACATTAGTACTGATAAACATTGATTTTTTTCTCCCAATGGAAAGTATGAAGTTTGGCCTGGGTGCCACTAGCACCAATTACCGCGGGTAACTCCTTCAATACCTTCCAATCACCTAAAAAACATCTAATTAAAGTTTGATAATGTCGCCATCTTTGTTTATATGAGACTCGTACGAGTATATCTCACGCATGCGTGGCTCGACGACTACCGCCCTTTAAGTTTGAAACGCCCCCACCACCCGTGACTGAAGGGCGTAATTGAAGATAATGGTTATTTTAAAACATAGATAATCATGTATACTTTGATGATGTTTGAATTTTCAAGTTTGCCATAATTTTCTGAAGTAGACAAAATATGACAACATAATCAAGTTGTGAATAATCAACCCCAAATTTACATAGTTGCTGTCTTCAACTATGTTGATGTAATGTCATCGCCATATCATTTATAAACCGGGCCACATAAAATAAATTATACGAACCACATCGAGGTCACGACTCGGTTAGCCTTGCTCAACTGGTTCGTAACCAGTCTTGTGATTGGTTGTTGACAAATGCTGAACAGGCCACGCCTCCAACGGTGTCATGCGTTCGGACTAACCGTTAGGAATTCCTAAATGGAGTCAATTTGTGTAGTTTTCTTGATTTATTCTGCAGATATCGGTAAAATATAGGTAAGGCTTTGGCGAAATTCGAAGGAGCAACTAATATTCTTCAACCTGGTATTTTTTTTAGATTTTATTTTTTATTTTTTTCGTCTGTTTTTTCGAGTTTAAAAAATGTGAGCTGGCTGGAGCCTTCATCCCTTGTCTATTTCTTACACTAGATACCAGCCGATACCCCCCCCCCCCCCCCGCTCATAGAGACTGTGTATTACAGTTGATTATAGTTCCTGGGCTTCCTGTGGCTGCAGCTGACCAGTAATTTTAGGCGAACTAGACCTAGCTCAAAACGTGGGTTGACCTTTGACACCTAACGACCTTCGGACCTCTAATACAGAAACTGTGCAACATCGGGGAAGCATCTGAACATAGAGGGAGCTATATATTTAGAACACTGGAAATAAATAATTAAGCTTTATATTTTTTTTTCAAACTATTTAATAAAGTTTTTTTTATGTGTATATGGATGTTTATTAGTTTAAGCTACAATAACGTACCTATACCCTTAAAGCGGGGGAGTCGTCACCTGCGCATGCGTCAGATTGCCATAGCGTGTAATTGTTTACAAATAAGCGTCTACCCATGAGCCTTTGCATTTTTAGCGTGTATTGTTATCGTCGCTTGGGACTCAATTCCAGCGCGTGTGTAAGTGGCGACCCTCCCGCTTTAAATCAACAACTTGATTGTAAAAATGCCGTTAATTTGCCATTTCTCTCAGGTGTTACAGATCAGCCAAAATATATTCCCAACTAAAGTAAACTGCATAAAATATAAATAAATATCGATAAAGAGCCATTGCTCGAAACGTCTAGCTATTTTTAATAGTTATTTAGGACTACGATTACCAAATATTATCTTCTATATGTGTCATGAATTTGTTTTCGCGTATCTGTATCGACTTAATTAACTGATTATTAGCGAATTGCTGTGTTATGTCTGTCATCGTTCAGGCCTATTTGAAGTTTTGGACGGAACTTGGCTCAGTGATTTGGAACTAATTACCAGATAACCGCCGCTTTTTAGACTACTCATTCTGACAGTTTACATCCATAGTTATTAATGTAGTGAACGATTAATCAAAAGATATGACGTATTCAGTACTTTGTGTGATTGGCTTTATGATTGAAGTTTACGCCTTAGAGTCTTTTTTACTGCTTTGTAATTGGTTAGAGTTGTGAAAATGAATAAAGAGAGTTTGAGTTGGTCTTGGGGAGCACAGCACGATAGACGCAGTAGAGAGAGAGTGCAGTCCTGGGCAGTCGAGAGTCCAGTCTTGGGCGAGTCTTGGTTCAGCCTTGCGAGAGTCTTGGGGACTTTTCCCCAGGGCGCTGTGTCTTATAGAGTGCTCCAAAAGATCGACTAAGACGAGAGTTGAAACGTATTTCGTTGTGTGTGCCTTATTTGACTGTAAAGTTAAAGTGACTTTCCCGATCCCGTACCTCAAGGGGACGCGATAGAGAGACGAGACGAGATTCCCCCCTGGCAAGTGTGGAGAACCCAGAGGGAGAAGAATTTACCCCTGATATATGCATAAAATATAAACTTTCGTAAAATCTTCTTCATGTGAAATTATTTTGTTTACATATCGACGACATCAATGTATTCAGTTTTCAGACTGGACCGGTACACTCGTATGTCTTGTTCATTAAAGCACGTTCGATTTCTATCTTGGCTTTGATTTCTTCCTTGGTCCATGGATAGTACACTTTAGACATCATCTCATCACTGAAGAGTTCTTCGACGTAACCACCTTTGCCAATACCAGTCTGGAAAATATGATAACAAAACATAAATTATAGATAAAATTATTATACAAATGTCATCGTAACACCATAAGTTACAGCCTGCCGTAATTTTCCGGTATTTTACGGGGTATTTTCATCCTACCATATGAGAAAATGCGAATTCCAAATATGGAATGATTACGGGCGTAAGCTTCTCTTAATAATAAAAACAAACATGGCTTGCCACAAGGGTTTGACCGGACTCCACAAGTTCGCTGATTCTGTTCTAAATTTTACGGAGTTCGGCTTTCCCATGATATATCCTTGGAAGGAAAAGATGTATAATAATGAGGTT